TTAAAACGACATATATTCAAAACAAGTCAAACATGTACAAAAATTCATTACACTATTGGTTGTCGCAGTTGTATCCCGAAGCTTTAAATAATTGTCTTTTTTGTCAAAGTCCACACAGGTGGATTCAGTTACTTTAGAACACCCTTTGACAAGACAAATTATTCTCCTCTATCTATGTATTACAATACAAGCTATGAAACTCACTCTAGAAATTGACCATTATGGCTAAACTGACAATCATGTAGCCTCACTTCACTTTTACTTTCACTAACTTTCTGTAGCTGCAAATATTTATAATGTGTGATAGAAAAACCTAGAAATATCTAGTCCTCTAGTAACAACAGTATTACACATAGTGATAAAAGCTTCTTCGAGTAAGATGATGTCAACAATATTACAAAAGCCTAGTACAACAAGTAAACTGCATACACAACATACAACTTGTACAGAAGTAGGTAACAAAACTTGTCACAACTATAGCTTTTAAAATAGTTAACTTTTAACACTTTTATTATGAAAACTAAATAATCATTAAATATTAAATCACTAAATAAACTAAATAATAACTCTTAAACTGAACATTCTTGTATATCCAACAATATTCATCCAAGAGGAATGCCCAAAACATGTCGATTTCTTGTATCATCTAATAGTTCTTTTAACTTCAAATTAAATACATGTACAGTCAAGTCAGGGTGGGAACTTGGGTGATGTTCATGTGCTAGAAGTTTGGTTATTTTATTTCAATTAGGACTAACTGTAAATGTAATAAATAGATCAGGTTTTCCAAACTTTCTTACCCTCCTCTTATGTACTTTGCAGTGTTACCTTGATGAGATGATGCCCTCAGGATATTAAAGTCAGTGTGTGGTTGTTGATGGCATTGGGCATTTTGAAGGGATCTCCTTTTTGAATCCATTTCTAGTAATTTTTTGAACTGATGAAGAAAATATTAGAAAACAGAAATGTTAGAGTAGAGGAGAAATTTAAAGTTTAATTTTAAACTGATGATACAAAAAGAAATCAAAAGAGGAAATTAATTGACAAATAAATAAAAAAATTATTTAGTAATGATGAAACACAAGCAATTGTAAAAGGAAATAAATTGTAATAATATAGAACACTCTTAACCTAATGAAATGAAGGAACAAAAAAAACAAAGTATAACAGGTCCAATCTAATTACAAATAAACCAGCTGATCCTGTAAAAGAAACAATAATAAGGTATGAGCTACTTTTCAACAGGCAAACGACTACCTGTGATGTTTCACTATGTGCAATACTGTGAGTGTATCCTATTTGCAGCATCATCCCCTTGACTCATTCCATTACCTGAATTACCAGGAGTATATTGGATTTTTCATCTAGTTTACAAAAATTGCTGAATCTATTAATTCCTGCTTTAAGAGCTCAGTTGAATTGTCAGAGTTTGTTACCCCATATTGACCTTTATAGTTTCTGAGCTGTAACATATTAGAATATGTTTTATGTATCTTGATGGACATTTGCAAGCTTTCCATAATCATTAAGAATAATTTATAGACAAAAAATCTGATTTTTTTATGAAATATTTTCACTAAAATTTGTCTATGAATATATGGAGTCAAAGTGTTGACTGCTCTTTGTGCAAAGTGATTTTCATATTAAGATTAAAAATACCTTTCTTCATATGAAAACTCTCAAATTTCGTTTACGAAATCCCTAAAACCTCCTAAATACATTTCAAACTTTTTTTTAGTTAAAACTTTATCTTTTATCTGTTATTTTCTCTATGCTAATTCTATACGAGATTGATCAATTTGACCAACCTCGTAACCACCAAAAAAAAAGTCTAAATAGATATAAGTTACCTTGTTTTTAGAATGATTTCAAATTTTAACATGAAACTACATTTGTTTAACCTAAATAATTTTAAACTCATAATAATATACGTATGTTCATGCTTAAATTTTATAGTTTTATTGCCCTCTGAAATGTGTCTAACTGATATTCCCATCATAAAATTTGTAAATCATTTGATGAACACAGAACTTGCGTTATCCTATCAAATTACATAACAGATGGGCTGCTTGTGAGTGTACCTCATGAAATTTTTTATTATTATGATTAATCTTTGCTTTATCTAATTTAACCATAAAAGTTTCTAATTTTTATGTTTTAGTTATTTTGATAATAATGAATAAAGAATACTCATGAAAAACAAGAAATAAAGTAATTACCCGGGTCTTCTTTTTTTTATGCTGTCCATGACACTTAATCTTACTTTTTTATACTGTTACAACAGTGGAAGTCACGTGACGCTGGTAACACGTGATGAGTTTCTCGAATGATCATGAATTTCCTAGTGCGTTCGGGACACACACCCCCTTTTTAGTATATAAGTCTGGCAGATAAAGCCTACGGGATGATTGATTGAAGAGATATAGATAGTTATTGAAGTGATAGATAAATGAGCCAAGCGAACAGTAGGCACCGTAAGTAAAGTTTGTGAATCACTGTGATTTCTAATGTGTGTTATAGAGGTGGTTAAGTTTAAAGTGACTGTGGAAATTCTGTGTATTACAAAGTTGTATCGAGAAAGTATAAACTAGTTTTAATCAAGAAGGGACTTGTGTATCGCTGAAGTTCCTCGGAAAGAATTTATACCGGAAATTAACAAACAAGCAGATACATAACAATACTTATGGTAGTAATGAATGCACTAAATAATTTTCTATTTAATTAAATGATGCATTAAAAAACACAGAACGATATTCTGGAAAAGGCATATCTATCACAATTTGTCTGGCTTTCTAAGTATGTGACATTAGCCATTAAAAATTCATCTAAGCTCATCAATGTGTTTTCTGTGAGAATAAAGTTTGAACTCGAATTGAAATTGACAATTCTTTGTACTGAAAACAATGTAATATAATAAATCATTGGATAGATTAAAACCTTGGTCTTCTATTAGTTATAAATAATATTATTGGCTATGGTTTTATGCCAAACTTGTTTGTTTACCATGTTAAGAAACTAGTTTCATTAAATATTGAATGTAACTCACTAAAACCTTTTGATGTACAAGAAAAACAATGCCTGTAACAAAAGTGTTAAGACCAGTCTCAGATATGTGGGCTTCATAGTTTCCTTGGAATAAGGGTTTGTACACATCCTACTTATAGCTTTGTCTTCATTGAAACATTTCATTACCCTAATCTCCAAAAGTATTGGATTGTTTTTTACTAATTTTATTTATTTTTTATAGCCTACAGTAATAGTTGAATCTATTAAGATAAGTCTCAGTTCTGTGGGCTTCATAGTTTCCTTGGAATAAGGGTTTGTACATATCCTACTTATAGCTTTGTCTTCATTGAAACATTTCATTACCCTAATCTCCAGAAGTATTGGATTGTTTTTTTCCAAATTTTATTTATTTTTTATAGCCTACAGTAATAGTTGAATCTATTAAGATAAGTCTCAGTTCTGTGGGCTTCATAGTTTCCTTGGAATAAGGGTTTGTACACATACTACTTATAGCTTTCTCTTCATTGAAACATTTCATTACCCTAATCTCCAAAAGTATTGGATTGTTTTTTACTAATTTTATTTATTTTTTATAGCCTACAGGAATAGTTGAATCTATTAAGATAAGTCTCAGTTCTGTGGGCTTCATAGTTTCCTTGGAATAAGGGTTTGTACACATACTACTTATAGCTTTCTCTTCATTGAAACATTTCATTACCCTAATCTCCAAAAGTATTGGATTGTTTTTTACTAATTTTATTTATTTTTTATAGCCTACAGTAATAGTTGAATCTATTAAGATAAGTCTCAGTTCTGTGGGCTTTGTAGTTTCCTTGGAATGAGGTGTCAGTAGAAGTGCTTTATTATATGGATTCTGGCTAATTAAATTATAAAAACATGTATTTCTACCAGTAACTGAAAAGAAAGTTAGAGTCAATGTGAGTTAGTTTTTACAAAAAATTGCATTTGTTTTGCATTTAAAACCAAAATAAGTTTTTTAGCTAGGTGGGAGTTTCATGTTAACTTGAGCGAAGTTAAGACTTACTTGTTATATTTTCTGTTAATTTTACAGGAAAACTTCAATATATATATAGAAGAACGTTTGTTCTTTTCCTTATCTGACTGATAGATGTCTGTAGGATATTTATCACAGTTTTTTTTTCTGTTCCTTGTTTGTGTGAAAAACAGTTTATATGTATTCTGGAGATGTAGAGTCAGTTTATACTTTGAAAACCATTCATCAAATTAGTGGTATATAAATGTGTACTATCTTTTGGTCATTATTTGGAGTTTTTCCACAGTGCATGCATCATATTTTTCCTCTTGGTAGTGGATTCAAAGGTAATTTCTCTGCCTTGTTTTCTTGTGCTTGTACAACTAGGTGCACCACAACATAGTTAGAACCTTTGATAAAACACAACATCATTCATTCACATCATGGTTATTAGTAATAATTGCTTAGTTATAGTAATATTTTTTGTAAATGATACTGTTATGGTACAACAAGCATTCAACACAGAACAAAACAACGAACTTTCAGAACAGAGAAGTGTATAGAGACTTTAAATGTCAAGTACGTAACAGTACTATTCTGTTTTTTGTATAAAATACTTTTGAATTTTTACATTTATTGGTACTCACTACATTCAGAATATAAAATGTGGTGTAAGATACAAGATAAAGGTCATTAATCTATATTAAACAAAGATTATAACGTAGAGGGCATTTGAAATTATAAAAGTGTAAAATTTGCAGTTTAGTCAGTATATGCCTGTTATGTCCATCAGAGTCATTAAAGGATTGAGAACATTTCTTTGTGATGACTATAATATCCATGGAATATAGATACATAAAACCATATTTTTAACTACTTGTGTGATTAGAAGGTTAATTTCAAAGAGTGTACTTTGTTTTGCACTAAAAAGCTTTTAAAAAAATCTTATTTTGAGGTCAGAAACATTATTTCAGTAACATCTTAGTGTTGTTTTTTTAAGGATACAAGAATTGTCTGAACAAAATGAAAGACAAAAATCACTTTTGATGGAAAAAGAAAAAATCATAGCATCTCTTAACAAATCTATGGAATCCATGGTGAGTTACTATTCACAATATTACATAAACTTTTGTAATTATCCCATGGCATAGTTCACATTAAAGTAGTGATTTTTAGGTGGGAGTTAGCTCAAGGCTAGTGGCATGAAAGTATTTTAGGCATATGCATGAAGAACCAAACTGTTATTTGTGCTGCGGTGTCTAACAGAAACACATTTTCAGGTAAGAAAAATGTTAACATAATATCCACAAGAAAAATTAATTGTAAGAAGTCTAATTTTCTAATTGTTTTTGTGAATCAAAGTTGTCGAAACTATCAAAAATGAAAATAACGTGTGAAATCAATTCTATTAGACTTACAGATAGGAAATTGAGATGTTTGGTAAGACTGACTTGGAATATAATTTTAAACCCTTGTAAAGATTCTAGGTGTTAAGGTTTGTTTTCAAACTGGTCAGAAAGTGCCTGAAAAGAAAATTATTCTGCATTGTTTAATTAGAAAGTGTTTTATTTTAGAATGCATTACAAAAGGACACTGGCAAATGAATGTAATGGTATAAACTAGCGATATACTTACATTATTCTAAATGTGTAGAATATGTATACAGAAAGCTCTGACTGGCTACAGTTGCTATGGAAAAGGGGCAAGAATTGCCTCAATGTACATATTCTTCAGAAGAGGAATTATAAACCAGTTAAAGCTATGTTGACAACTTAGATTATGGTTCAATATAAAAACTGTGTATCTAGTGAACAAAAGACTTTAGAATGAATTTTATAGTTTAAGTACATATAGGCTTATGTAGTCTACATGCCATATTTTTTGTTTTCTATAAAACAGTATTTAATGTGAATCTGAGGAGTGTTACAGATATAAAAGTGAAACTGTTTAATGTGTATATTTTGTAATTACCACAGGATGATGATGTGACTGGTTACATTTTGAGTTGCTTTGTCTATTGTGATTGATATGTGGGAAACTATTAATCTGAGCTTTGACATTTACATTGTATAGAACTTGTCCTGATCTCATCTATGTACTTATATTGAGACATGTGCAATTTATTCATACCAGCTTGTCAAAGATATTGGTCCAGGTAGTGGTGACTTTAGGGAGGATGTTGACTCTGTGAGGACCACTTTGTGGGACATAGCAAAAGCAGTGGTAGAAGATGTGGACCAAACTTATTCTGACTCGTTATTAGAGCAACATTTTTTGACCAATGCCCTGTCCTCTGTGAGGTAAGTTTTACTCTTTCTAAGTCCAGAAAAATATTATAGTATGTGTGTAGTGTACTCACTTTCAGAAACTACAATGAATATGTTAGTTTTATGTGTATGTTTATAGGCTTTTCTTTCATGAACTTTTAGGTACATTTCGATAAGATTATTTACTTATCTTGATCTAATGAAAGTCTTATATTACTTGAAACTGCGGATTGTTCATAGTTTCCATGGAGCCTTTTTGTTTAATCTTTTGTCCGGGAGAAGGCTGAACTGTATAAGGAGAAAAGATTAATAATGTATCAAACAGGTTGGACAGCTGATGGTAACATCCTCTATCTTGCAGAAAACCAAGGCAGACATTTCAGGTTATATCTGGCTTCCATACTTTCTGAATAGTTGGCAAAGTGTCGTACTCTACTTGTTAAACCTTTGTGCACAACAGAATGTATGTATATATACACGTACACTACATAGATAGACACACACAGACATGCACCAACAAATTAAAGAGGCATTTGATCTGTTAAGGTAAACCTGAACACAGATCCAAAAACTGATAGTTGTATGTTTCATGGGTCATGTTATCAAAAACTGATAGTTGTGTGCATGTTTCATGGGTCCTGTTATCAAAAACTGATAGTTGTATGCATGTCTCATGGGTCCTGTTATGAGAATGCATGGCTGTTTAGTTGTGTGCATGTCTCATGGGTCCTGTTTTGAGAATGCATGGCTGTTTAGTTGTGTGCATGTCTCATGGGTCCTGTTATGAGAATGCATGGCTGTTAGTTGTGTGCATGTCTCATGGGTCCTGTTATGAGAATGCATGGCTGTTTAGTTGTGTGCATGTCTCATGGGTCCTGTTTTGAGAATGCATGGCTGTTTAGTTGTGTGCATGTCTCATGGGTCCTGTTATGAGAATGCATGGCTGTTTAGTTGTGTGCATGTCTCATGGGTCCTGTTTTGAGAATGCATGGCTGTTTAGTTGTGTGCATGTCTCATGGGTCCTGTTTTGAGAATGCATGGCTGTTTAGTTGTGTGCATGTCTCATGGGTCCTGTTTTGAGAATGCATGGCTGTTTAGTTGTTTCTGCACAATCTACCTGCTTTTAGAAAGGAAGTACACCTGTTTAATATTCAAATTTGATGATTTGCTATTTTGGTGATAATTGAATTTACAGTTTTGAATAATTTTGTGATGATGCCTGCTGGTGGTGGTGTGATTTATATAAATAAAATCTTTCAGATGAAAAAAACAAAATAATTTGATAGCTGCATTGTGTGTCCATGTTCATAGAGATACTTGCTGGTGGCTGGCTGGTTTATAGAAGTAAAGTCTGTCAGATGCTGTAGTCCAGAATAAAACAAACAGATGGTAGCTGCTTTGTGTTTCCAGGTTCCTAATGATACTTGCTGGTGGTGGGCTGGTTTATAGAAGTAAAGTCTGTCAGATGCTGTAGTCCAGAATAAAACAAACAGATGGTAGCTGCTTTGTGTTTCCAGGTTCCTAATGATACTTGCTGGTGGTGGGCTGGTTTATTGAAGTGTAGTCCAGAATAAAACAAACAAATGATAGATTTGTATGTCCAAGTTCATAATGATACCTGCTAGTGGTGGGCTGGTTTATAGAAGTAAAGTCTGTTGGATGTTGTAGTGCTGAATAAAACGAACAGGTGATAGATTTGTGTGTCCATGTATGTGATGATACTTGGTGGTGGTGTGCTGGTTTATAAAAGCAAAGTCTTTCTGATATTGTAGTCCAGAATACAATGAACAGATGATAGATTTATGTGTCCATGTGTGTAATGATACTTGCTGGTGGTGGGCTGGTTCTTAGAAGTAAAGTCCATCAGATGCTGTAGTCCAGAATAAAACAAATAGATGATAGGTACTTTGTATGTCCATATTCACAATGATACATGCTGGTTGTGGACTGGTTTGTAGAAGTTAAGTTTTTTGAGTTGTTTTAGTCCAGAATTATACAAACAGATGTTGCTTTGTATGCCCAGGTTTGTAATGATTAATGCTGGTGGTGGGTTGGTTCATAGAAGTACAGTACTTGAGATGTTGTAATCCAGAACAAAACAAACAGGTGATAGCTGCTTTGTGTGTCCAGGTTCATAATTATATGTGCTAATGGTGTGCTGGTTTATAGAAAATAAATTCTGTAGGTTCTGTTGTCCAGAACAAAACAAATAGATGAAAGATTTTTGTGTCCAGGTTCGTAATGAGAAAGTTATGAACATGCTATATGGCTTGATTCAGACATGAAGGGTCAAATAACACCACATAAATTTACTTATCATTTAGCTATTAAGTATAACCAGTCCTTTACCTATAAACTTAGGGACAGCAACTGTAGTCATTATCAGTCATCAAACAGTAAAGAATATGCCCAGCTTATGACCAAGAAGATCTGTTACAGCCTTGTAATTTAGTGCACAACTTATCTAAATTTTTTTTAAGTCAACATAATTGACAGTATAGCTTTTAGGCACTTGTATTATCCACAGATGAGTTAACTCTCTCTCAGCATGGGCTTGGTCGGGTTTGACTGACCACATGACTTCTTTGTACTCTATAGTTTTGATACTACTAACTTAATATAGTATGCATATCTTCTCACAATTTGGCAGACGTTCAGTAAACGTTATAAGTATTTCACATACAAAAAGGCATATTTTTTAGTGAGGTATTTTTAATAATGTAAAAATGATTTGTCCGTGAATGTATTGAGTATTTATTTTGACTAGTCCATGTGCATAGTGATTTTCATGTTAAATTAAAAATACCTTTTTTCATCTCAAAAATCTCAAATTTCCTTTGTGTAATCTCTAAAACCTCCTAAATACATTTCAAATGTTTGTTTCAGTAAAACTGTATATTTTATCTGTTATTTTCTCTACCCTACTGTCAAATTGATCAACCTTGTAACACCAAAAAAAAATTGAAATAAATCTAAATTACCCTTTTTACTTTCTAGAATGACTTCAAATTGTAACATGAAATTACATTTGTTTATTCTAAGTAGCTTTAAACTCATAACAGTATACATCTATTTTTGATTTAATTATATTGTTTTATTGCCTTTTGATTGGATCTTGAACCATGTCTAACTACTATTTGCACCATTATATGTTGTAAATTACATTACCCATGAGCTGCTTGCATGCATCCCTTATGAAACATTTTTATATTATTATTATTTATTTTATCTAATCTAACCTCAACTAACCTAAAGAGATCCCTATTTTTATATTTTAGTTACTTTTATAATAATAAATAAAGAATAAACATGAAAAAACAAGAAATAAAATACTAACCCAATCTTCTTCTTTATTGCTGTCGACTGTTGATAACACTTAACCCTACTTTTTTTATACTAATGGTAGTAATGCACTAAATAATTTTTATTTAATTAAATAATTCACCCAAGAACATACAATAATAAAATGCAAAAAGTTTCCTCTAACTATTAAAATTTTTCTGGCCTTCTAACTATGCGACAAGATCTGTTACAAATTCATCCAAGCTAGTTGTTATCTTCCCCATTGGAATGAAGCTTGTAATAACAGTGAATCTGACAATTCTCCATTCAGAAAAAAACATAATATAATATGTCATTTGATAGATCAAAACCTTGGCTTTCTATTGGTTATAGATAATGTTGAATTAAACGTAAGCGAGATCTATTAAGAAATCCTGAAAGAGAGGATGTGACAGGTGGGTGTGGAAAAAGGGGTCTGATTTGCTGTTTGATGGCTCTGTAACCAAACAAAATTGAAGGCTATAAAAATTATTGTTTGTCTGAGCAATGATGATTTTATACAGAGTAATTTACGTTTAATTTCATACTTTTTTGAAGGGTGGTGGATAAAATAGGGATGATGACATGCTAAGAGAAAATGTTTCACGTGGGTTGCATGAGTGTAAATTCTGGATTTTTTCAATATTTCCTTGTAGAATTAAGAACTTAAAACTTATATACTATTAAATATGGACTATTAGCTACAGTTTTATGCTATACTAATTGGTTTAACATAAACAAAAAGTAGTTCAATAAAATTTTGAAGGTAAGACACTAAAACCTTGTTTCATGTGCAGTAAATGATGCCTGGGCAAAGAGGGTTAAAGCTTCAGTGTTTGTATCATTGTGCTTTTAATTTCCCAAGGAAGTCAAAGCTTCATATATATGTACCATTCTGCATCTAGGTGCTTGTAATATTCACAGATGAATCAAGGCTTCATGTGTGTACTGTTGTGGCTTAAAGTGCTTGCATGCTTTACATATGAGCTTGATGTGTGTACCGTTTTGCCTGTACTATTCGCAGATGGGTCAAGATTTCATGTCTGTACTATTGTAGCTTAAGGTACTTGCATGCTTTACAGATGAGTTAAAGCTTTGTGTGTGTACCATTGTGCTTTAAGGTGCCTGTACACTTCACAGATGGGTTATGGCTTTTTGTGTGTACCACTGTGTTTTATGGTGCCTGTACACTTCACAGATGAGTTAAGGCTTTATGTGTGTACCATTGTACTTTAAGGTGCCTGTACACTTCACAGATGGGTTAAGGCTTTATGTGTGTACCACTGTGTTTTATGGTGCCTGTACACTTCATAGATGAGTTAAGGCTTTATATGTGTACCATTGTACTTTAAGGTGCCTGTACACTTCACAGATGGGTTAAGGCTTTATGTGTGTACCATTGTACTTTAATGTGCTTGTACACTTCACAGATGGGTTAAGGCTTCATGTGTGTACCACTGTGTTTTATGGTGCCTGTACACTTCACAGATGAGTTAAGGCTTTATGTGTGTACCATTGTACTTTAAGGTGCCTGTACACTTCACAGATGAATTAAGGCTTCATGTGTATACCACTGTGTTTTAAGGTGCCTGTACACTTCACAGATGAATTAAGGCTTCATGTGTGTACCACTGTGTGTTTAAGATTCTGTATTCTTCACAGATGAGTCAAGGCTTCGTATGTGTACCACTGTGTGTTTAAGATTCTGTATTCTTCACAGGTGAGTCAAGGCTTTGTATGTGTACCACTGTGTGTTTAAGAGCCTGTATTCTTCACAGGTGAGTCAAGGCTTTGTGTGTGTACCACTGTGTGTTTAAGAGCCTGTATTCTTCACAGATGAATTAAGGCTTTCTGTGTGTACCACTGTGTGTTTAAGAGCCTGTATTCTTCACAGATGAGTTAAG